TCGCCGAGAGATAGATATTTTCCTGGATCAGTAGTGAAAAATGATAGGGCACGATCGAGCTGGCGTCGCTGGGATCTCATTATCCAGCGTGGAAAGACGAGATCGTCTCCGTGGAACTTCTTTTTCGCCTGGAAGGAAGGAGGACCTCCCCGTTTCACGATACAGAAACGCTTTCCTCGTTAGTCTTAATTTTCTCTCGCGGCCCGACATAGGCGACGACACTTCATATCGCGAACGACAGTACATCCGTGGGAGCGTTAATGACACCGTGGAATACACGCGATGAATAAGATCGTAATAACGAGTGCCAGCCGTTGTTTGCAACGGACCCCTTAATTTTCCTGCCTAATGTTTGGATTAATTTTCCGTTCGTCTTTTTTTCGCGCGCCGCGTATTTACTTTTGTTGAAATAAAACAAAGAATGTAGGCCGCTGTCTGCTATCTGAATATGAAAATTTCTTTTGCAGCTGTACCATCACAAATTCCTTCTGTGTATACATATAATATGCATGGTATACAGCTTCCGGCCAGCCACAATTAATATTATAATATATGTGTATAGGATAATTTTATTCCAATAGAATAAATCCATTTACAGAATAAATATTCAATATCCACTGAAATATAGTCATTAATTTAGAATGTGTCTTGTTTCTTCTGGATGAATTTGTGCAAAGATGGTATCAACTGTGTGTAATAATTTTAATATTTTTTAACTTTCAACTAAATGCTGGATAAGTCACGGGGGGATATTCTACGTTTCTCTCTACGGCTCTCTTTATTGATATTTTCCGTGAAGTTTCAAGTTTTTTAATAAGAAATGTTACAGATAAAAGTTCATTGCATAATGTGCTAAAATAAAAAATACGCAAACTAATATTCATGTCAGTGGAAATTGAGAACTTTATTGATAGTAAGTAAAAGATCTTTGACCGGAACGTATCTAATGGCACGAGACGAAAAAGAAACGTAAGAGATGTCTGACTTTTCAAACGCGTTTCTGATGGCAGATATCGCGTATCACTACACGCATACACGTACAATATGTACACAGACGTACACCAGAGATGCTGCTCTTGGCCCGAGCAAAATCTCAGTCCGCAGGAATGACAATAGACTGTCAGATAATGAATCCCCACTGTCACCCCCTTTACCATCCCACGTCCTAAAACCCACCCTTTGCTATGCTCTCTCTTTCTCTACGCGTCCCTTCCTCTCGGCAGCGACAGCTTCGAAACCATCAACTTTTACTCATCGGGGAACAAATTTTTTTTTCACAACATCGATATCACGGTAAATTAGACCTAATCGAATCGACCGCGAAATAATATTTGTCAGGCTAATTATTAATTCTACCTGTTCGATAATATGTACATAGTTTAGACAATGAAGAAATGAAATGAAACTTTATATCGTTTGTTTCAAATTACACAAAGTATGAGAAAACAATTATCTAAAGTTCACCCTTATTTTAAAGAAACGGCTTCGCAATATTTTTCTTACGGGCTAATTTTCCTACGTACAATTAATAATTAATTTCTTTCTTTTTATTTTAGTATGAAATGCCTGTTTTTTATTAGTATTTTTCTCTCTTTATTTTTATTTCTATCGTAATAGAATCATTCTAGATAAAAATGAATTAATAAACGATGTAATGTAACTTTTACTTAGATTCCAGTTGTATCTCTCGCTAACTGTACCCCCTTATACTTTCCACCCTCTACTCTTGTAGCAAACAGGACTATGACCGAGTAGGCGAGGCGTCCACTTAGCGCTAATGCCCCTTTTATTGGTCAAGATTCCAGTCAAAAGCTGAATAGACGCTCGGGTCGTACCTCCAACTCGGTTTCCTCTAAAAATTAAACGAACCATTGATTATACCTGGTCGTAAATATTATATTCCGTTTTTTAAAACTTCACTTCACAATGTAAATAACTTCTATACACAGATTAACTTACTTTGAAGAACAATCGATTTCAATAGATAAAAATATAATTTTCTCATTTAAGGAAATATTTTTACGCTTTCGATTGATTATATTAACTGTTCCTTGTGTTGCTTTCAATTTCACTTCGCTTAAACATGATTAATATTTTATTTTTGTTTATGTTTCACATATTGAAGAAAGAAAAAAAATTCATTTGTTTATCCGCTTATGATTAAATAAAGCTGATTACTTTTTTAAATCAAAAGCATAATGCGTATTTAAATTTATCATGGTACATGCAAATCCTCTTCCATTTTTTTCTTCCTACTTCTTTTTTTTTTTTAAGTGAACTCGGAAACGAATGGAGCAAAGCCGGAAAAAAGAATTGGAACGTGAGGTGTAACATATCGAACTGAATGTTGAAGCCAGTGAGAGAGCGAGTCGAAAAAAATTTTGCCTGGAATAACTCCAGGCAGAAAAAGTGAACAAAAAATTTCCATAAAAATGCACCCGTACGTATAATCCGGATAAAGCTTAGCATTGTGAGAATGGCTATGTCACTGGTGGAAATGGCGGAAAAAACATAGAATTGGTACATGGAAATGACGGTAATCGAAGATTGTAAGGGACATATGAAGAAAATATCGTAGCATGTAAAGATATATAGTATTTTTCTTTTTAATAAGAAAAGAATAAATATACATCTTCCCCTATTAGTATACTTCATTTTAAAAATTCATGTGAATTCGTTTAAAAAAAATGGTCTTGTAAATTTGGAAATTTGAATCTACTAATATGCTAAAAAATTATTTTCAATAGGATCTAATATATATAATGATTATATATAATGATCTTAGTGTAAATTAAAATACGTGTGAATTATTATGTTAAAAAATAAATATTCATTAGTCTATTAAATAAATTTTAAATGTCGAATTAATTTTGTGAAAAAAATATATTTTCATTATTTATTTCGATACATTTATGATAGTTTGTATATAAATATGGCTTACATTTAGGACCTGAAATTTTTCTTTTATGTATAATTCTGCTTCAGTCTCATAGAAGAATCGATTATTCTTTCTAAATCTTTTGTCCACTGAATAAAATATCAGTTCTAAATTGTATAATATGAAAATATCTTAATTCCACTGATAGTTTTAACAAAATGTTAAGGAAATTATTAATATCAACAAGAATGCTGTAGAATATACATATTTATTACAAAATACTTCAGATATTACTGACGTACGTTTGCACAAAATTTGGAAGATAATATTTGTTTATATTGTCAAGTTTGAATATAGGAAATAGTGTTACACTAGTTTCCCGTTTAAACTTGACTGTAAAATTATGTTTAACTACTATGTAAGAAAATCTATATGAGAAGAAAAGTGTTTTCGTATTACGAAAAAATGAAACTTGAATTATAAACGAATGTATGCAGTTTAGAAAAATATGACCACATTTTCATCGAGCGAACTTCTATATATTCGAAAAATATTTACTTAAAAGATTGCTTTATGTGCTTCAAAGTCAAATACGTGATACATTTTCATGAGATCTTAAGTTTTAATGATTACGTATCAGTCTTGAGACTGTTAGCTGGTTAGTCATTAGCAATAAAATAAGCTTTATAGATCACAATGGTTTAGTATTTTATATTCAACAAAAATACTCTGTAGTTTAGGCATTTTCACTAGCGGGCCTCTTCTTATTCTAAAAAATAAAACATTTTGTTTATTGAGAAAGTAATTAATTACATTAAGTATAATGTCATTCTAAAATAAACCTTACAGTTTGTTTAGATGGTTTAGTATCTGTACTAGAAGTACGTGTTTTGGACCTCTCTTGTTCTAATTGTGCATGTAAAGACGCTACTTCGGATGTCAACTCATCTCTTATTTCTTGCAACTTTGCTACTTCGGCTAAAACTGACGCCTTATCTTTCACTGATAAGAAAGAAAAAAATAGAGATAATTAACCATATTTGCAATAACAACGAATTATAATCAAAACAGAATGATTAGCCTACTTTCTCCGTGAGATAGTATTTGATAAAGCTTTTTATTTCTTTCTTTAACTTGTGTTAATTCTTCTTTTAAATTTTCTACTTGACTTTTTAATTTATTAATAATTTCATCTCGTTTCTCCACTTCTACCCTTAACTGAGCAGATGTAATATCATCATCGATTTTATTTAATCTTGCTTTCAACATGTCTTTTTCTTTTTCCTTTGTGATTTCTTCTTTTGTTTCCTTCTCAACTCTTTCAAAAAATTCTGTATCTAATTCTGTAAATAAATAAATAATTTTATATCTATTTAAAATTTAAGATGCAAAATTACATTACCTTTTGATTTAGTATCACTATTTTCTGGTAGTGATACTGTATTTTGAGTAGTAGTAGTGGTAGTTGTAGTAGTAGTAGTAGTAGTAGTAGTAGCAGTAGTAGTAGTAGTAGTAGCAGTAGTATCTGATCCCATATTGTTGAATTGCTCCAATGACATAGTAGCCTTTTTTGACTTTTTCCCTGATTTCTTATTTGACTCTTGCTCTTTTTCTGACCTGGCTGCACTTACTAGCTGCTCTTCATAAGCCAACTTTGACAGCAAGATGGCTTGATGTAATTCTTGCTCAAACGTTTCCTCGACAGCCTTAAGGAAATCACAATTGGACGTGATAACACACAACAGTTATAAATATTTCTCTACTGAAACAAAACCTTAGCTTTAACAATTTATATCTAAAACTAAACTATGATTTTCACACATATTAGTGAAGCCTGTGCCTGTCCTTATTACACAATTCATTGGTTGTCATTGTATCAGTATTCAGATAAAAACTCATTTTTAAAAAATTTCATTGAGCTAACAACAAACAAATAAAATATATTACAAATAATTTATACATTACCATTGTGTCTTTTTGTTTCCACTGTTCCCATTGTTGATTTTCATTACTACTAGTCTTTTTCTTTTTTCCCTGCAATAAAGAAAATACATAAAGAAAACAAAAAATTTATTATATAAATTTCTATTTATTATTATGATCATTATTTTCTGTCATTGACAGAATCAAATCAGGCCTATCGAACTGATATTCCCCTCCGCGCACCACTCGAATTTAGCGCTTGATGAACCACTTCCTCCTCTTGTTTTCTTCCAGGCCTATAATCGATTCTCTCATCATGTGTCATTATTACACTTATTTGATTTAACTTTTAACTTTGTCAATTTAAGTGTTATTAAAGTGTTTTTCTACAACTTTTTATACCTTTCAATTTTTTTCATGGTTAGTGGCGATTCAGTTTTACAACCCATAATTCAGTAATTTGTGACTGGATCGAGATCTCGACAATTAATTATTACATACTTCTATATTATATTATATTTAATAAAATTGATATGAAAATATTTTTAATTTTGGTTACAAAAACGATGCAGATTCCGGAGGAGAAGGAAACAACAAAGATATGGAGGGGAGGGAACCTTTCTTTTATGGCCCAAAAAAAGGGATACTAGTTAGAGCACAGTTGGCTCACAAGTCACCAGTTTGACTGACATAAATTGTATTATCAATTATAAACTGATTTGTTTTTTATATTTTAAAACATATTCAAGTTCATTACACTACGTATTTATTACGTATATCATTAAACGTCAAAATCAATATTTAAGTTCATTTCAAAATATAAAGTCCCGCCACGGTTTACATATACTATACACGGTTTACCGGCTAATCAAAAACAAGAGAAAAACAATAAAGATTACATGTATCATACCTTATTTTGTTTTTTCTTGTCATCCTTTTTTGGTTGCTGCTGCTGTTTTGATTTGTCGGTTTTAGATTTTTGATTCGTCTTACCGGTAGTAACATTCTTCTGAGTTTTCTTCGGTTTACAATCATCATCATCAATGCTGAGAACTGCGAATCTCGATGGCACGGCGGTCGCCATTTCTGTGAACTCTGAATATACGTATTGATAACAAAAACTACAGAACTTCCGGTATCATTATAGTTGTAGAACTTCTAATGTTCATTGATCCCTGTATTATTACATCGTGTATGATGTAGAAAATGATATAACCTATTACAAACGACTTACGTGTCTGTACTTATCGTATACAAACGGATGTATAACGAAAACTGAAGAACGACGTTAAGCTACCACATAAACCGGAAACGAGTTATAAACGTTATTACAGCGTTATTCAGCGCCTCTAGCGGAAAATATTATGGAGATTACAATTACCCGCCCGGCGACACAGTCAGACCAACTGTAGAAATATTATGTTTGAATTGCTTTATATAATTATTTTTTTTCTTCTAATTTATATTAATGTTTCATTGTTGTTTACAACAATATAATGATTTTATCAATTAAGAAGCAGCATCAAAGTTGAATAGTTCGTAATTTATTTTTCAGGCAATCAAATATTTATCATATCGTATGTTATATGTGATTTCAGTATAATGGTATGGTATTTTATATTATGTTCTTATACCTTTACGTATTGTAACATATACGTCCAGTCTTCGTTTATAAAAAATATGTAAATTATTTATAGAAAATTTAGATATCAATTAAATATCAATTGATTTGTTTTGACATTTGAATTTATTTGCATTATAGTTATTGTTTTGTATCATGTTATTGTAAAAAGATTCTCGTATTATAGTATTGCGATTAAAATATGTTTCTTTCCATCTTACATGTTAAGTTTAATTTTTTAAATCTCACATGCATTAAGCAATTATACAATATTTATAAACGATATAAAAATATATATGAAGGTTATATTAAATATCTTATTATAGTAATTTCAATTCAATTCACATAACAATCGCAGCAAAAGCACGTTTCAGATAATACTAAAAGTATAAAATTGAATCAATACAAAAAAATTTAAACAAAATAAACGTAGTCACGTACGTATACGCAGCTATTAATAAAATATGTTAAATGATTAACCGCAAGAAATGTATGCTATATAGCATTTAAATTCTAATACGCAATAAAATTTTTTTTAACATCAGCAATGTTCATTTATTTATCTGTAAGGATAATATTCCAGCTTCATGAATTATCAATTATAGCAATAATTCTAAAATAATTGAATTATTAAAACAAAATATATGTACGTCAAATGGTGAATAAAAGACGCGACAGTTGGCGGCATTGCTAAATCGAGAATCTCGAACAACGAGAGAGAAGGAAGTATCCATCACACATCCATCCATCCACCGTACAGAGTCCCCGTTGCACGTCGGGAAACTGAACATGTACGTATGTCGTACGAACGACGTAGAGCGTTGAATGTGTCGATTGTGTTCAGGGTTGGCTTGCACTTTTCGCGGCTGTATGTGCGCGCAGCAACATCGCGTGGTCGGTTATCAAGGTGTTCGCGAAACCTTCCAGTTTACAGTGACTGAGTGATAAGAGGTGAGGTGAAAAGAGAAATTTCTTTTCTTGGGACGCTCGCCAATTTCGGAGCTGTAAGATTCTATTGCGGCGTCGTTCTAACAAACAGTCGGGGGAACACGTAAAGGTTCGCGCTGCTGTGTATCTGTGTGTGGAATACATCGAATCGGGGAATTCGCGGGCTAAAATGCCCGACGTGGCTCCCGCGGACAACGTCGGCATCGAGATCAAGATCAACGAAGCGGTGGACGACGAGAGGAGCGACGCTCGCTCCTGGTTTCCCGCGAATACCTCCGATTCCATTTTTATCTATGCCCGCGCATATGGCTGAACAGTTTTTCGTATTTTGAATTAACTGGATAGTGCTTGTAAATTGACTGACTGTTTCGAGGAAAGGAAATATCTGTAGTTTTACGTACCACGGATAATTGCTATACTTTATTCAAGATAATATAACATGAAAACAACGACGATTTTCTAACGTATTATCTGTTCGTTCTTTTTTTTTCTTTTTTTCTTTTTCTCATCTAATAAAAATACGTTATACATGATTTTAGAGTGAATGTTTATGGTGCAATTTATAGATCTGCGAGAAGGGACATACTAATTAAGGCTTAGTAAATGTTTTTTTCGGGGGATTTACTCTATTATTTACTCTCATATTTATGCCTAATGTGTAATATTACATAGAAAAAAAAATCAAAGATCTTTTGATCAATCTATAAACGTGTTTGAAAATTTACAAAATGAGAGAAATATAATCGTAAAGTGTTCATAAACTTAAAGGAATCCTCCAATCATTTGGCAACTGTATATTGCATTTGTTTATATGGTTTTGCATACGTATTTATCATGTTTCTTCTTAAATGAAATAAAACCACTTATTGTTGCTACATATTAAGGTTAGATTTTAATCAATAGAATAATTCTTTCTTATTGTTATATATGCGAACAATTTATTGTGCTTCATCCACAAATATATAATATACGAGATATTTATGTTGAATTTCAATGCTGGTTTTGTGAAGGAATAATATTAAATAGCTTTGTAAAATGTGTGAGCAAACAGAAATTAATTATTTGGATGGAGATGTTGTTTGGGTGAAACTTGGAGGATGTTGGTGGCCTGGACAAGTTACTGGGTTTCACAATTTACCTGAAGATATTCAGCATGAATTTCAAAAGAAGCCATTAATAGCTGCTGTGAAGTTTTTTCAGGAAGATACATAGTAAGGAACCTTATATCTTTAATTTATTACATTATTTACGTATTAAATTTATTCACATTTAATATTATTTTTAGTTGATAGATTTTCATATGTTTGTTTTATGAATAAATATCTTTCATATGTATTATTAACTTTTTCAGTGAATTTGTGAAAAATTATCAACAGATTTATAAATACAACTGTACCCAGAAGGATGAATTTATCAGGAAAGGATTAGGTAATGTTTTTTTAAATTTAAAACAGTCATGTGTGTGTGTGTGCGTGCAATATAAATTTTCAGACTTAATTGGTTTTTATTTATTTTTGTATGTTAAATAATCTCTTATTCAGGTATACCACATGTACTAGCATCTTTTATATAATTATACATTAATAATTTTACTTGCAGATAAGTATAGAAGTAAAAGCAAAGATGGATCCAGATACATGGATAAATTTCCCGGAGATGTTGAAATGGCTGAAAAGTTAACAGGAGGAGATCCTGATATATTAAGTCTTGATAAATTTTGTCCAGAAGAGAAGCCGAACATATCGGCTTTATTTGGGGACAAGAAAATTCCTAAAAAGAAACGAGATCGTGATGAAAGTCGTAGAAAAAGCGATGGTATGGAGGTTGTACGAAAAATTACACATCCAAGATTTTTGAAAGAAAGTGATCATGAAATTCGAATACGTCAACAACCTAGCAGCTTACCATCTACACCAAATAATAGTGGTTCTCCGCAATATCCCTGTCATTTATGTAATTTTACTTCTTCACGAGTTAATGTCATCATTTGTCACATAAAAAGCCATAGATCTGGAAATTCACCAATGTCAAAATCTAAAGTAAAAACTTATTCTCAACATAGAAGTAGATACTCTGATGTGGACACTCCAAAAAGAAAATACACAAAAAAAGAAAAAGGCCAGTCAAATAAAAATAAAAGTAACAGCGAATCTGGCAAAAGAAAACAAATTAAACAAAATGAGAAAGCTCCTAAAAAGAAAAAGGTTTCAGATCCTAAAATTCGTGATACCATATTAGCAGATTGGGAAGATGAATCAGACGAAGACCTTAATTTAAATCAGAGTACTGATTTAACATCTATGAACAATTCATCGCCAAAAAATCAATTTGATTTTGAAAAGTCAGACGAGCCTAACGAAAAGAACAATACACTACCAGAGGCCAATGAAATTATTGCAGAAACTGAAAAATTACTTAAAGAAACCGAAAAGCTTACAGCAATTAACATAACAGAAGATTCTTCATCTGATAGCATTAATACTGCAAAAAATCTGAAATCAAATCTTTCTGATAAACAATCTGAATTAACGAAAGATGCTAGAATATCTGATGTTGAGAGTAATGAATCTATTAACAAATCACAGATGGAAAAAGAAACTTTTAATATTGAAAATGAAAGTAAATCTGTTGCATCAAATAAAGAAGATAAAAAGTCATTGCTATCGTGTTTTGATTTCCACGAAGAGGAACCATCTATACCTCCAGTAAGGAAAAAATCACGTGCATTTCATCAGAAAAAGGAAATAATAAAGGAATTTGAAATGAGTCAAGCTTTAAAAATTGAACAAGAAAAGGAAATTGAACATAATAAACCAGAAGATGAAGATAACAATACTAGTCCGAATGAATATGAAAGATTAGATACACAAACATCTTTAAGTGAACAAAAATTAGAAAAAAGTGAAAATAATGACAAAGTTGTAATTAATGAGAAAGAGACAAGTACTAAACTTGAACAAATACAGGAAAATATTAAATCTGAAAAGGAATCAGTAACAACACAAAAGTCTAAAACTTGTGAAACACAATTAGAAATCGTAGAAATATTTGAAGTTGAAAAAGTTGAAGCCGAAAATGGAAATGTTATAAATGCTTCAAAAAATATTGATGTAGAAAATTCTGCAACGTCAAATATCAATAAAAAATTGACAGAAAACAAAAATTTGGATGTACAAAATATTGATGATAAACAAACAGATATTAAAGATGCGATTATCAGTGAAAATACAGAAAATGTAAAACATGATCATTTAAAGCAAACTGAAGAAACTTTGTCTGAGCGATTTACAATAGAAACAGAAGATGAAACTGTTTCTGAATCAGCTGAAACATTTCCAGAGCAAAGTGAAAATTCAGATGCGGATATGCTAGATCAAGATCAAGTGCCTAATTCAAATTCTACAAATGTTTTATCAGACGGCGATCAGTTAAATATTATCCCCCAAGCTCGTAAACATAGAGGTAGATCAAGAAGATCAGGATCTATTCGTACTAGCACTAGTGGAAGTCCTAGTGGTAGTGAGAGCCCAAAAATAGTAAGAGATAGTAAGAGCAATTCAAAAGTATTTGAAAAATTTGGAATAGAAAGAAGAACTTCAGAATCTGATAGTGAACGTCCATACAGTCGAAGAAAACGAAAACCAAATAAAAAATATTTAGAATCCGATATATATGTACAAGATGTAGATCAAAAGATATATAAGACTGATGAAAGTCAATCTGAAAATGAGGAAAAATCTTCTGAAAAAATAAAAGTCAAATCAAAAAGAAATAAGAAATTTATAGAAATTATTAAAAAAATAAATGATGATATTGATCTCAAAGAAGAAAAGGAAATAGAAATTTCCTGCAATACAGTGGATACAACAGAAAATAATGTTAATTCTTCAAATATAGAATTGAAAGATGGTTTATTTGAGAATACATTCAAAAACCAAATGCTTATAGAATTAGATACGAAATCTGTTGACAATCAAACTCTCAATGAGAGTCCTAAAAAATTACAAGTACCAAATGAGGAAAAAATTTCAGTAAAAGAATCTGATACACCTGTTCTTGAAGATACAAGTTCCTCAATTATAGAAGATAATACTGTTAAATTTGAAAGTACAATTCTTGAACATGAGAAAATGAAAGATAATGACACTGAAAGTATATTAACTCCAAGTAATCTTTCACAAGGAGCTTTAAAAGATCTAGAATCTTCCAATTCACTGGAACTATCGTCAGAGAAAGAATCATCTCATCAACAATTAGATACCTTAAAAACTGTAGACATGCTTCCTCCTAAAAAGTCTCAAATAAAGAAATTTGAATTATCACAAATTGATTTTTTTGATACTGATGTCTCTACTCAAAAACTTACTATAGATTCTGGATTAAACAGTGAAGAAGAAAAAAAGGAAAATTTAAATATGAGTGAAATAATTGAAACTAGTACAGATTTAGCGGCAATTGATTCTTTAAAGCAAAAAGAAGATGTTCCAGAAAAGCTTGAAACAGATACAAATAATATCGAAATTATAAAAGATGCAAATCAAATAGAAGAAGAAAATAAAATTAAAACTGAAGATACAGCTGTATCAATAAATCAAAAAGTTGAGCATACGGAAATGGAAACATCAGAAAAAGAAGAACAAAAAATTGAATTAGAAAACGTTAGACAACAGTCATCTACAGATTCAACAAATATATTAAATGAGCAACAAGTTCAAAATAAAACATCTATACAAACAAGATACAAAGGAAAATTTACACCAGATACGTGCACTAGATTAAAAAAAGATAAAGAATTATTTTCTGAAGAAAAATCAACAAATACATTCCAAGAAGCCTTCTTAAAAACTTTGCATATGGACAAGAAAAAAGGTATAATGAATGATTCTGATACAACTGGAAAAGGAAAGAAAAGTAAGAAGTTAATGAAGAAAAAGCTTGAAGAAGAAATAGGTACGAATATATCTTCAGAGATAACTCAGACTGTGACAACTGAAGGTTCAAATACATCAGAAAATTTTCCTATTCTTTCTCAAGTCACTGTTATGAGCAATTTTGAAGGTATGGAAGTAGTAGTTGATCAAAATCCTGAAATCGACACTAAAGTTGATGAGACTATTTTTCAAAATGTTGATCAACTTACATCATCATCATCATCAAATGAATTTAATATTATGTCTAAATCATTGATACAATCACCTACTGAAGAAAGTACTAAATCTATCAGTATAGATGTGCAGAAGTTAGATGAATCTTCAAGAACATCAACTTCTACACCTTCTCCATCATCTGATATTAATGTGCCAGTAAAAAAACGTGAAATGCCACGAATAATTGAAAATGTAACATTAACGGAACCTATGCAAATTTTAAAGTCAAAATTATTAGATAAATTACCACAGAAAGGAGTAAAACATAAACTAGAAACAGATAGTACAAAAAAATCTGACCAAAAGGGTTCTCCAAAAACAAAAATGATGAAAATTGAATCTTCAAATACCAAAACTAAAACTGGTTCAAAGGTTACATCTCCACATTTATCTTTGACTAAAAAATTACAAGTTTTAAAAGCAGAAGAAGCAGAAACAGCTGCAATGATAGAAGCACAAAATGAACAGTTAAATGTAAAAATTTCAAAAACTCCCGCTACAACTACTACAACTGAAAGATATATTCAACAAAGTTCACAAAGCTTAGCAGACATGGAACTAGATATAAATTCAATGCCATTTGTTTTAAGTGAAGATGTTCTAACTCCAGAAAGCATTGAACAAATGCCTGTTGTTATATCTTCTATTATACCTGCATCTAGTACAATTCCAGCAACATTATCTTTTACACCAACTACACAAATAGTATCTCCCACTCAAACTCAATTTAAATCGAATGAAAATACAAATGAAGTATCACCTACAAAGAAAAAGAGTGGTACACCAGCAATTTTGAAAAATAAAACTAAAGCAAAACCTACAATTACAAGTATAAAAACGCTGGTACCACCACTTACAGGTGGTGTGAAGGGTATAAAATTTCAAAATGCACCAGCAACGAATAAAGTACCACCACTTTTAACGCAAAAAGGCTCATCAGGAAAGTATGTAGTGGTACAAACTTCTGGAGGACAACAATTGCGATATGGTGTTCAAGGAAAAACAGGTATGCAACAAAAAATTGCTATACCTGGTAAAAGTGCTGGAAATACACAAGTGGTTCACCAAGGCAGTAAAGTAGTTATATTAACATCAGCACAATCAGGTCAAACTAAAATGCTGCCTTTAAATATCTCTAAAACACTAAGTGGCAAAGTTCAAAGAATTATGACAAGTAAAGGTCAAGTATATCCCATCAGTCCTCAGGGTATCATAAATTCAAAAACACTTATTGCTCCAAAAGGAGATGGTGTTTCAGCAACAACATCTAAGCTTTCTGCTGGACATAAGATAATTAACACACAAGGTATCATAGCTCCAAAAGGAGTTCTAACTCCTATTTCAGGAGCAATTGGAAAGACTGCTTTACTAGGAACATTGTCTCAAGGAATTATCACAAAAGATGGAATCTATACGCCGATAAGCACTTCTACTTTAGGCGGAAAAACTATTATTGGTTCAAAAGCTTTGGTTACAAAAGGTACAACTATTTTATCTTCACAGAATTTAGGTACTTCTAAAGCTATTTTGACTTCCATATCTCAAGCTATTAGTGGTAAAACTATTTTGAGTACTCAAGGTATAGTAAGCAACAAAGCAACAGTTTTGACACCAATAACAGGACAACAAGTGAAAGCTATTGCAGCAAAAAGTCCATCTAAAGGAAGTAAAGTACAATATCAGTCAGTGCAACAAAAAGTGCAACTACCAATGTTACAAAAGTCACAGAAAGTTCCTACTACTTCACAAGGAAGATCTGGGCAAGTAAAAACTGGTAGCAGCAGTGCAGTAGTAATGCAAAATACAGTTCCTGCACAGAAGACTATCCAACAAGGAAAGAAAGTAATTAAACAAACAGTTGTACAGCAAGGTTCCACTATTCAAAATATTCCATCTCAGGGTACTCAACAGACAATCGGCATGAGTTCTCAAATTCAGCAGAAAGGAAAATCTGTACCTACATCAACTGTACAAAAAGTTATTATACCTCGAGGTAGTCGACAACAAAAAACACAACAAAAAATAGTTGTTCAAAAAATACAAGAACCTATAATTACGACTGTACAAAATATGCAGTCCAAACAAACAGTCACAGTACCATTAACTACTGTGTCAAATGTATCTAAAACAACGAGTCAGCAAAAACAGGCAGCTAGTACTACAGCAACTACAAAATTTACTGCAAAAGGTCAAGTAGCAAATAAGTCTACCACACAACAGCAAAAGAATTTGATGAACATTGCAATGAATTCAGTAACTGCAACTAATGTTTCCACATCTTTATCTCTTCCGCCATTAGAACCTATTGAATCTGAAAAGAAATCAAAAATAGAAAATGTAGTTGTTGAATCTATTCAGAAAGATCAGCCCAAATTAGAAAACTTCAATATTGAGAAAAGTGGTGAAATAGAAAAAATAGAAGAACCAAAAATAACAACACAACCACAAATAATGGCTCTACCAACAGAAAGCAGTGATGGAACACAAACTTATGTTTTAGTAACTATTGACGAACAAGGACAAATACAACCTCTTGATAATAATACTCTTATGTCATTAGAAGGTACTACACAAAATCCAGATGGCACAAGAACATTATACATAGATCCTAGTTCATTAGGAGAAGCAGGCACCATAGACAATATTGTTCTACAGTTTGATAATGCTGTATTACCAAATATACAAACTAATGCTACAGAATCCAATCAAGCAATTATATCAGAAAGTCTTTCTACTTCAGAAGTAATACACACATCGAATCAAGATATTTTAGCTGCTGCTTTGGCAAATACAGATTTTCAACAAGAAATTAGTTTAACAGAGAATCCTACAGGAAATGTAATGACCACTGGTTTGACTCAAACAAGTTTAATCAATCAAACTATTTTGCAGTCAACTATCATACCTCCTACAGAACCAATATCTTCTCCCTCTGTGCTTGAAACTTCACTGACTTTAAATCAACCCATAATGACGCCTTTAGAAGTACCTAGTAATTTATCAATACAATCAGAATCAACTCCAACTTCTGCTGTGGCAACCATCCCGTCTTCTCTCGAATTACCAATAACAATCACAAGTCCTAATATTTCATACATTTCAGCGGGAGAAGCACAAATACAAATTCCTGGTAATTCTATGCCAGATATTGGAGAAATCATGGAAAATTCAAATACAACTGAAATCACTCAAACGGAAATCCCTGCAAGTACTCAATATGTAGTATTACCAAATTTAGAGGATAATATTACTGTTGAAACTTCAAATGAGCAGAGTAATACTATTTCAATGCCTAATGTTTCGTATTCAGTTTCAATACCAAATAATATAGTGTTACAAAATTCACAAGTTCAAACTACTCCTTCAATGCCGATAATAGATGATACCTATGTTGAAAATGTGCAATTTACTTCAACTATAGAACCATCAATAGCTACAGAACAAACTTTTGTAGATGTGCCTGTTTCTGAAATGCTTGTTTCAAAACCAGTTGATTCCAAGAAAAATATAAAATCAGAAGATGTTGCTGTAACATCAGAAATGGTATCTCATAGTATTCCTGTATCTTCCCAGGAATCTATTGTATCAACAAATGAATCTTCTTTATTAAATGAAGAACAAAATACAATGCCTTTACAAGAAGTATACTCTTCTCAAGAAATTTCTATTAAGTCAGAGGAGATGCTCTTGGAACAAACAGTTACTAAAGAGAATAATGTGGCAACTGGTAGCCAAAATGAAGAAGTTAGTAATAATGATAATATAGTACACGTACAAATTGTTGAACAATCAGATGATGCAATGACAAGTAGTATGTCAATAATGGATGAAAATACTTTAGTTACCTCTGAGTCTAATGTAAAAATTTCACCTAAAGAACACGCAAGTTTTGAAGTTTCAGATTCAAATGAAATCGATACAAATAGTTCACGAAACATAGTTCAAGAAACAGAGAATATAAAAAGATTTAAAGAATTGAGTTTTAACGAACAATCTGATAATAAATCTCAGTCTCCCATATGTGAAGAACAAGCAGCAACATCTAATGAAGTAGAAATTGCTCAAGAAGGAGCACAAATTTTACCAGCAGAATCACTCAATCGTTTAGATGAACACAGTATGGATATAGATGAGACTATTGAATCAAAGATTTATGCTGCAAATGCAATGAAAAAATCAGAAGATTCTCAAAGGGATGAACCATCATCTCAAGGTGAATCAGATTTGGTCCAAAGAAATCTAGAATTACATTTTGAAGAAACAAATGCAGAGGCAAGCCATGAAACACCATCACAATCATATGAACAGTTTGGAATAGCAATGACTAGCGATTCCACTGATTTACCTAGTCAATCTGCTACAAAATCTGAAAATTCTAGAGAACCTTCGCAATCAATAACATATGAACCTATGGAAACAGATGAAGAAGCTGTTGCGACAGAACCACCGACACAATCATTTGAACATTCAAAAATAAATGAAGCTTCTCAATCATATGAAACATCTGCAGAAGCAAGTACAAATGCACCTACCCAGTCTTTTAATGAATTAATGCAAAGTCAAGAAGAAAGATCGACTATCGATGATGCGATTGATGATCAAACGTTTCCAACACAGAGTTATGAAGTTGGTAAAGCAGAAAATATTCCAGAAAATTTAGAAACAGATGGCGAAATTAGTCAGGAAGGAAACATGCCGTCTCAATCGAACGATATTGGTACAGATGGGATTGGCACATCCTCAGTTTCTACAAATAATTCTGGTCTTAACGAAGACGAAACCGCTAGTTCGTCTTATGTTCCAGAAACACCTGAGAATCAAGAAAGAGATCCAGATCAGGAAAGTGCAATAAGTACATCATCTTGTGAAATTCCACCTTGTGCCGAGTTGAATATTGCATCATCTAGTGCAGAACATACAAGTATCCATGACAATGGGGTACCTGAAATACCTACATCTTCATATAATTTGAATCCAGACATTACTTCAACTCATGTGGATTCTGTACCAACTTCTAGTTATGAAGAACAAAATGTATCAACTTCTTATGAAGTACCAATTTCAATGCCTGGCTTAGAGGAAACTCCGTCTCAAAATTTTGTTACAGAAAGTACAGATCATAGAAATGAACCATCCAGTTATTATACTCATCATCAGGAAGTAACAGCAAGTTATTATGAATCTGTAGGGCAAGAAACAAATTCGAGATTAGATGAAGACCCACAAGAGGAAGTTACTCCCAGTTATTATGGTAGTAATCCACAAGAAGCAAGTCAAAGTTATTTTAATCCAGAAGAAGCAACACCAAGCTATTCCATTCATAATGTCTCTCCCAGTTATTATGATCACAGACCAGAAAGTGAAGCAAGTCAAAGTTATTATTCTGCAGATGACATAGAAAAATCAGAGCAGGCTTCCTCACAAAATATTGAGGCATCACAAAGTTTTTATCAAGAGCAATCTGATGAACTAAAATTATCCCAACAAGGAGAAGCTACACCGACATACACGGAAAGATATCCAGTTGATTACACATTGGAGAATTCACCAATAGAAAGACACGATCTTGTAGAAAGTTCTGTACCAGCCACTAGGCCTACAGAGAGGTAATATATTATGATGAAAAATAGCGTTGTGCTATAGAAAGAACACTTGTTTTCATAGACTAATGAACATTGCAGCCATTGATAGATAAACTCATCTATTTTCAAATGTAAATATAACATTAAGACGATAAGTGATTAAATTTAAGATTAAAATTAGATTCTTATACTATAATTTATATCTATATAAATAAATATACATGTCTAAATGTATGTGTATGTATGTATATATATGTGTATGTATGCATGTATGTATATATATATATGTATATATGTATACATACACGTTATCACAAAACGCGGTGCTCGTATATGCTGCTGTGCGTGCTTATGTGTATATATATGTACATATATATACATATATATGTGTACATATATATGTACATATATATATACACATATTCTTAATTGCGGATATAATCCGTACATAGAATTTGCTACGTGAGCAGTGTAATTACAGAAGAAAACTATGATTTCATTGCAAAAATATTATGTTATATATTCATCTCATTTAATACATTGAAATAATGTAAAAATTTCAATCTATTAAATTAGATAATCATTTATAATGATTATCTTCTTTTTCCTTTCTTTTAACTGAACACAATACTTTATTATATAATAAATTATCTATACGTTTTTGAATACAATGTACATGTAATGTGTATATTGTAAAATTTTGTAAAATGTCATTGGAGTAGTAGTAACAACTGTTAATTATTGCAAGCGAAATTTAATAGTTACACTACTTGGACAAACATAAAACGATTGTAAAATATTTGTACATTATCATGGATTCTTATGGAAGATAGTCAAAATCAAATAAGAAAGAAAGTAGTGAAAAAAATTCAGTGAAACTACTACTCCATAATGGCAAGTCCTAATGAGTGAATAAAAAATAAATGCACAATATATCTTCAATAAATATCAGTAATGTACATCTTAAGATATTTGTAAAATTCAAGTAAATAGTTTCTTGGATTATTGTTTAAAGACTTAATTTTTCAGATAAGTTTTTCACTATTCTTTCTCACCATTTATGAACTTACCTGCTGACAGAGAAGTCTTTATGTATAATCAGAAGTGTAGATAATTGAAAGACTCAAGGATTGAATTATTACATATACATTGTTTATTTGTAGGTAATAGTTTACATTTATGAGAAATAAAAAAAGCCTATTATTTCAATTATAATGTATAATCCGTGTGCTGATGAAATGTAAAGCATAAAAAAATTTAATAGAAGATCTGTCATGTTTGATATGAGTTATTAATATTTACAGGGGGTAATTTTAAAATAAATATTCATATAATTGATAGAAATAATCCATTTATTGTAAACAAAATCATTTTATTTCTGTAAAATATTTGCAATAATTTTATAAATAAATAGATTTTTACATACATATAATATTTTAATGGTTTTCCTTGTGTAATTTAAAATAAATAATTCTTTTTAAAGAGTAAAGCAAATCTCAAACGAGACAGATTTTCCAACTTATTCTAATATAAAAATGGTTATATTATATTCTTTATAAACTCATGTTATCAAAAAGAAATTTGTTTTTATTTTTCGCGGCGTTTTCAATCGTGATCACGCATGTATATATTATGTTACTATTACGGGAAAGAAGTTATTAATTATCATACATTGGACTTGAAGGAAAAAAAATTTAGCCAGATCAGTTTTCAAGGACTGAAATGTTAATATTCTTTAATTGCTTTTTGAATTGAATCAATATATACATAAATATATATGTACATATATTTTCCACTCAAAGAAATATAATAAAAATTTCTGTACCTAAAAGTAAAATATAATTCTGTAAAATGGGGAAAATATAATTACATTTTCTATTGAGATTTTTTGGTACAATCGTAAGTTGGCATATATTGCTTCATTGAAGTAATCAAATTTAAGTGACATAAAATGACAGTGATTAAAATAGCGTTAATGCGTTCTTATATGGATAACAATTTGATATTTTCATCACTAACAATATTATCTTTTTATTTCTACAGTGTGCACCACATACACGATTGTAACTAAGAGATAAAATAAATACATGAATATTTACGTAACAAATTATATATGCAATAAATGTTTTTGTTGTTTTATTATTTAAAATTATCCCATTACAATAAATTTTTGCCTGTAAAAAAATATATTTACTCTTTTGTTTAATATATCTTCATAAAGAAATTAGCAAGTAATATTTTTATTATACTCTAAATTGTATTTTACGGAAATTGTTAAAAATTATCGTTGACATGTATAATTTATACATGTAATTTTTACATACGTAACATATAGAGTAAACAATTTTTTTATTATTGTGATCGCATGACATGTTAATTATTAAAAATTTTTGTATGCAATTTACAAACGTATAAAAAGTATTATTTGTTATTATTATCAAAGATTTATTACCTAAAGTAATCCCAAAATACAATAAATTATGTTACATTTATAGATGTATGGCCATTTATATACAATATAGTAATATTTGTAATAGTTAAAGGAACACAGTCTTTACAATCATTATCTTAATTGATTCGGTTTTATTTTCGCCAGTATTGTGCAAATTTGTGTAATTGTTCCACTAATACTGCCATTACAGCCGTTATTGATAAGTCCAAAAGATTATGTACATAATGTACTGCTTCTTCGTCACTTAAATCTAATCGTAGCTTATCTTGAACCTTTTTAACAGCTTTATCTGGTTCCAATGCAATATCTGGTACACTAGCGTCAACCATTAACGAAAACAAATTTAAAATTAAATTAGCATGTCTGCGCAAATGTAGAAATGCAGTATAACACTGTTTTCGAAATTCGTGATAATGTTCTGAACCCACTCCTCCCATAGCTTCAACCATTTCTTTGCTTAATTTCATTGGTGGAGGTAAAGGCTTCGGATCTCTGCCCAAGATATAACCGAAATCTATATGAAAAAGTTTGCCTGAAATATAAATATCACTTAATTTTATGAAACTTATTTTTTTTTTATATCTACATAGTTTATATCAAAGAATTTATAAGAGAAATTACCTGATGTTGTTAAAAGTAAATTATCCAAATGTCGATCACCGACACCGAGTACATATGTAATAATACAGTAACCAGCTAAAATTTCACGATTTTATCAATATATGAATTTATTAAATCATTTCATTCAATATTTATTTCGGAAAAATATAATTCTTACCACAACTTCGAACATAAGTATCCATAACTTCAGGTACAACACCGTAAGGGCCATTTTCGGATGGGTGATGTTTCCGGAAAAAACTTAAAATGGAACCTTCACTAGCTAAAACTTCTGCAACTGTTGTAGATTCAATAAATTGTAAAAAACCATGTCTAGTACTTGTTGCAAGTACTCTGAAAATGAAACAATTTATATTTTAAATAACGCCATACATCGAAAAATTGTTCTAAGAATTTGTACCTATAAGGAGTGAGTTTCAAATCCAAGTTTTCTCTTCTTAATAACTTGTCCATAAGTGCAATTGTTTGTAAAATTAGCTGATCTTGTCTAAGATCATCACCATTTTTAAAAATCGCAATGTATTCGCTGTTATCCGTTGTTAAAAATGTTAATTTAGAAGGCATAAGAGCTGATTTAAAAAGACTGGCTCTAAAAAGATGATTTAAATTACTGAAGTATATATGCATACACATATATCATATGTAATATATATATATATATAAAGAAGTTATGCATACTTTCCGGGTATAATTCCTTTGATACAAATTTCTGGATCCAAAGGAAAAGGTATTGGTTCAAAATTAGAAAAATTGATCTTAAACGCTGGGTCCGGATCTGTCAATAACATTCTGAGTCGATCAGTTTTCTTTTTACGATTTCCGCTTTCTCGTGCAACTGCTTTGACCAATGCGACTAATTGATCAATAAATACTTTTTGACGTAAAAGAAATGCTCTTCTTTTTTGCCAAACAGTATTTCCTTGTGCCAGTGTCATTGAAAACATTGACATTACAGTATTATACATTTCTTTGACACGAGTATCTTGTTTTGCACTTATGGATGGATCACTTTGATCCTCACATTCAATAGAGAGGTACCAATAAAAATAATTAGCCAATGTAGTATTTTGGCATGCACGAGTAATCAAAAAAGATGCTAAATCCATAAGAGAATCTTGATTTCTTGAGAAATGTACATTTTCAGATTCGCTAGACTGTAAATCCTGTGTATTATTCATAATAAATTAAAAATTCAATGTTTATACTATGAAGATACTTACCGTTGTTACAGCTGCAGATGAAGAATCGTTAATTTGTACATCTCGGTCTAATTTCTCAACTTTCTCAGATTCCTTTTCTTTTATTAATGCTTGATTTGCCCTTTTGATATTTTCAAAGTCTTCATATTTTAAAGCTTGTACTAATTGTAATAAGTACAACATTAAATCATCATCAGGCGCTTGATTAAGTCTAGTAATAGCATATCTTCTAACAGCTGGATGTGTAAATGCTGGACCAAGTAATTCTAATGCATCTTCAGGATCAGGTGGTGCCCACAATGCTAACATTTCTAACGCTTGTCGTTCTTCTCCAGCAACTTTCCAATTTACACATTTCACGAATTTCGTTAAAGCTTTTTTTTGATTTGATAAATAAAATCTATATTTCCAAATAAGATCTTGTTCTTCTGTAGAAAGAGCCGTTGTTGGTGGATAACTTATTATTATGTTTAAAGCATCACGAACATTTGAAGTTGGTTTTAATTCTCGAGTATGACCACCGCTTCGTAAACTTCGAGCTAATTTGTGATGTTTTATTTCTACAAGATTTTCCTAACAATAAAATGAAGGAATATAAGAATTATACATATATTAAATAATTGAAACTAATTTTATTTTTTATTGCAAAATTTTTTTATAGTATTTCGATAATTAAGTTTGTAAATGAAGATCAAATGTATTATATATGTTATATAAAAATTTATAATTATACTTGTAAAATTTCGTAATCAGGCAGAGTTACAACATCTGGTTGTGATCTATGTTGAACAACTTCATCCCCATCCTTTTCATAATACACTATAGAATACTAGAAACATATATAATTTAATATAACATTGAAAATAAAACTATAGAATAATAGTTTATAGCGTCAAATTTGAAAATTTTTATACCGGTATTCCATCCATAGTAACTTCTGGAAATTCAATCATTAAGTACAAATATTCAGATGCTCTTTTCTCTCTTTCGTTAATTAACTCAATTTCTCTAAATGTTAATCTGTCTAGCCAGTCAACTTTATTCATTTGACCATTCCTGTGCTTTTTAACAAGTTTTGCTAATCTTTGCATTTGTTCCTTTCCATGATCTTTAGTTTTCCCTGGTGTGCTAGATAGTACACTACCATCTGCTTCTACTCCAGGCCACACTCTAAGATCCAACATTCCTTGACGAAACACTCCATGTTTCCCGAACAAAGATATTGTTGTACCACCAACTGGTAATTGTCTACCAGGTCCAGCACAATCATATAAACTTATACATAATTGAGCATCCCGTGGTAGATCAAAATAAGAAATAGGAAGTGTTACCCATTGATTCCAACTAATAAAATTAATAAAACACAAACATATAATATATGTATTTTAGAGCTATGATTTCAATGTACTTCCAGAAAAATGATACGTACTTCCAACGTGATGTGAAATGTTTATATGCTGTGTGAACAGGTAAGGCCAATGGTCTACCACCAGCCCACACTTGTAAGGAAGCTCCCAAATCCCCTCGTCCTCCATTGGATCCATATAGACCAGAGTATTTTAACATAGGATCAATAAGTAATTTATCATATTCTGGTCGTTGTCTTTTACCTTCTAAGGTTCCTCTATGAAAAAGAAAATGTATCATGTTAGAATGTATAAATTATCATGGAATTACATTAAAATTTATATCTGTTTATATGACATCTTAATCAAAAGAGCCAATAAAATCGGATAATCTGCAATGAAATATTTGATCTGTTCTACATATAAATTAAATATCGTAATCGGATTATTTTATATTTAACAGTACTGCCAGTAGTAGTAGTACATCTGTTTCTATTAAACACACTATGAAGCAATTATTATGGTAACCTGATACCAGCTGATACACTTATTACATTTCATACACATGCAATGAAATCTTACATTTTAATTTGTATCTTCGTGTCTAATGAAGAACTGTACACGTAGAAAAACTTATCATTAATATCTTCCATCATTTTATAAAATTATTTTACACATCATAAAGTTTACAAGTTGCTCTATTTCATATTTTTCAACATTCTATCTATTGTACTATTGTATCTAAATACATTGCTGCAGTTGCACATCACAGACGAGATATGTGAAAAGACTTTGCATCTTGTGGAACTCTGTCTCATGATCTGAAATACCATGGTAAAAAAATCATTGGCTAGCGCACTCTGTACTTAAAGAATTGGGAAACTACTTCGTTTGTGTCGTCTGTGCTGTGTCTGTGTTACTATCAGTAGGTAATTTATCATTCATAAATAAAGTTGTAGCAATAGTAGTAATGGTTGTAGTCTTATATAAATTACGTCTTAAATAACATTTTAAACAAAGCATTCTTTTCAATTTTATTTTCTTACTTATACATGGATTTAACAGTATTAAATGAATTTTTTCATCTTTATTAAATATTAAAGTATTATACAAATTATAAAATACAGTTATTACTCAATTATATTCTATAACCTTTAATATTTTATTACAAATATTTATTATAGAACTGCATGTAATATGACAGGATTGAAGAACAAATGTTCTTAATTTTACATTATTGTGCATTCAAAAAATTATAATAAAAGCAAAAGTAATCATAGGGACATTTCATATTTATATTGGCAATGTCCATTTTACTAAAGTATATTTCATCCTAAGAGTGGACTGCTCTTCAATCATTATTCACATCTTTAACCAATTCTTACGAATTCTCGTCTTTCGTTTTCTTTTGGAAAAGTAAGGCGTGTATTTAATTGTTTTTTCTTTTACCGCTACAGTAATTGAAGGAAAATGTTCGGACCAGGGGCTGCTCCGATCGTGGTTCTAAGTATGTAATACAATGACAATTTCGATTTTCATTTATTTCAGTAGTGAGATCGAGAAAAATCCATTTCGTTATGTCGTGTGCTTTGATTATTGCAGGTCAAAATACGAAACGAGATACTGGTCGAAAAGTTCAAAGAGAGAATATACAAGCCGGAAAGGTAAGTCTACGACGCGTTCATATTTCCCTTTTATGGTCTTCATCGAATACGTAAGCCCACGTGTATTTTTCTATAAATAACTTATTCAATGTCTAATAATATAAATACATAATAATATAAATACAGTGTGATAATATTTTCAATATTTTTTGTACCTAAGTAATATCAGTAAAACGTTTATAGATGTTTCTTAAAGTATATTAAAATATATTTGTACGTTTAAAATAAATTTTCAAGTTTTTTAATATTATACGTTTCTATAAAGGCTATTGCAGATGTTATTAGAACATGTTTGGGACCACAAGCAATGTTAAAAATGTTGATGGATCCAATGGGAGGTATAGTCATGACCAATGATGGAAATGCCATATTACGTGAAATAACAGTACAACATCCTGCTGGAAAATCTATGATAGAAATAGCTAGAACTCAAGATGAAGAAGTTGGAGATGGTACTACATCAGTTATTGTATTGGCTGGAGAAATTTTAGCTGTTGCTGAACCGTTTCTTGAACAGAATATGCATCCTACAATTATAATAAGAGCATTTCGTCAAGCTTTGGAAGATATGGTGGCTATTCTCAATGAGCAAGTTAGCATAGATCTAGATTGCAATGACAGAAGCAAATTGATTCAGGTTATTAATTCCTGTGTGGGTACTAAATTTATTGGACGTTGGTGTGAATTAGCATGTCAAATTGCTTTAGATGCAGTTTACACTGTTATGCTTGAGGAGAATGGCAGAAGAGAAATAGATATAAAACGTTATGCAAAGGTGGAAAAAATCCCTGGTGGCACTATTGAGGACAGTACTGTCCTTAAAGGAGTCATGTTCAATAAAGATGTCACTCATCCAAAAATGAGAAGACACATTAAGAATCCAAGAATAATTCTGTTGGATTGCTCCTTAGAATATAAAAAGGGAGAATCTCAAACCAATATAGAAATAATGAAAGATACAGATTTCACCAGAATTTTGGAATTGGAAGAGGAGTTTGTTAAGAAAATGTGTGAAGATATTATATCTGTAAAACCTGATGTGGTAATCACTGAAAAAGGAGTATCAGATTTGGCACAACATTATCTTGTCAAAGCTGGTATCTCTGCTATCCGTAGATTGAGAAAAAGCGACATTAATAGAATTGCAAGAGCTTGCGGTGCAACTGTTGTTAATCGTACAGAAGAATTGAGAGAGGAAGATGTTGGTACCAGAGCTGGTCTTTTCGAAATTAAGAAACTTGGGGATGAATACTTTTGCTTTATTACAGAATGTAAAGATCCTAAAGCATGCACCATAATTTTGAGAGGTGCTAGTAAAGATGTATTAAATGAAACTGAGAGAAACTTACAGGATGCTCTTCATGTTGCAAGAAATCTTCTCATTGAACCTAAATTAGTACCAGGTAATCAAATGTTTATTATTGAAATAGCATAGTATACAGGTACGTTTGTAAAATATATATTATTATATTATATTTCTATTTTTAAAGGCGGAGGAGCTGTGGAAATGGCAGTATCAAGACTTTTAACAGAAAAAGCAGCAAGACTTGCAGGTGTAGAGCAGTGGCCTTACAAAGCTGTGGCACAAGCGCTAGAAATAATTCCAAGAACGCTTGCACAAAATTGCGGAGCAAATACTATTAGAACCTTAACTGCATTACGTGCAAAACATGCCACCGAAGGAATGACATGGGGTATTGATGGAGAAACTGGTCAATTAGTGGATATGAAAGAACGTGGTATTTGGGAGCCTTTATCTGTGAAATTGCAGACATATAAAACGGCTATTGAAACTGCTATTTTACTGTTAAGAATTGATGATATTGTATCAGGAAGTAAAAAGAAAAAGTCAGAAAATGAACCTGCCCAACCTGCACAAGTCTCAGAAGAATCTATGAAAGATTAAAAATACTGAATCTATATTGTACTTGTAATGCTTTTATTTGTTAACATTTCATAATTCACGATAATTTTATTAAAACTTAATTCATGTTTATGAAACACTCTGTACTCTGTTCATAATAATAAAAATACTTCAATAAGATATTAAAACTCAATATAAATATTGTCCTTCATATATTTTTGCTTTCTTATCTGATACTTGTATCAACAATGTTTTATAAACTGTTCCAGTGCATCTAATATACCATAGTGAAATTTACAATTTTATTTGTTTTCATTTATTTGATTTGCTACAAATAATAAAATAATTATAAATGTAATTTTCTGTAAATAGAAGTCTCAGTTATTATTTTAAAACAATAGTAAAATATAATCTAACCTATCTCTATTTCCCATAATTTTTAAGTCACAAGTAATTAATAATCAACTGGGACATGAGTTATCGCAGTAGCAATTTTGTTTCTAAAAAAAACAGAAAAGATTCTGAGAAGATTGTGATGCGTTTCGAGGAAGGTGGCGTTTCACGCGATACAGGTATATTGATTGTGTGTGTAGGGTGGCCGGCATGAGTGAAGGCCGACGAATGGGACACAATTTTCGTAACGGCTCTTTGCGAAACTCAAAACTGTTCGGATAAACTGAACGATGAGCATGAATATGAGATGATGCCAGGCACATCTCGCAAATTGGGAACTTCGAACGGTGGTAAAAACCGATTTATTTTCAATTGTTTTTAATCATTCTACATTCTACACGATATCGATGTCGATGTTTCTGTCAAGGCTGGCAGATGTTTAATATTTCTCCGCGATTCGGTACGATCAAGAGATGCAAAGTGCAACAACGTTTTTAATACACGATTATTCTGATCTTAATGAAAGTACATCCACGTGGCTACGTGTGTATGGAAGTGATTTTCATATCTGTTTACTACTGGATTGACAGGTGTCTATGTTCTGTTAGTTTTGAACAATGACTATTAATAAATGATTATTATTGTACAGTATCACGTATTGATTTTAAGAGATTAAGAAACATTCATTTTTACTGTTTCTTTTCTATTTGTATTGATAGACATTATTTGTAAATAATATTCTTTAAGGTGTTCATGTAGTAGAAATAAAATGTTTATTATTTTGTAAACATTCGTACTTCTTTTTTGTATGCACATATGGATATCTTTTGAATAGTTTATGAGAAATCTTGTTTTCTATTAGTTGATAATTTTATTTTAATATCTATTAAGTGCTTTATTTTGTTATAAGAATAACACAGAGTTTTCTGTATTGATAAAATGATATAAGCAAGATATATATTTTTATATGTAAAAATTTTTATTTATTAAATAGGCTCTGAGTGGGACACTTTAATGGAGGTTCATCATGAACCAATTGAAAAAAACTATAAGTTGTTGGAAGAAATTGGGAAGTAAGTCATCATATAATATATACAATATACACTTATAATAAATGTATGAACTTATGAATGTCAATGTATTTATAATTTACAGAGGACAATTTGCAATAGTACGAAAATGTATGGAAGTGAAAACTGGAGAGTTTTATGCTGCCAAAATTATGAGAAAAAGAAGAGTTGCTAGAGGTGTGGCAGCTGAAGATATTGGTAAGTATTTTTACAAATATTTCATAATATTTTCTGCTTATAAATAATTGTTGAATTTTTATTTTAGCTCGAGAAGCAGGTTTATTAGCACGACTAAGACATCCAAATATTGTTTCATTGCACAAAGTCGTTGACACAGGCACAACGGTTGTTTTACTTTTAGAATTAATTTCAGGAGGAGAACTTTTTCATTGGGTACCGTCTGGTGAATTAGAGGCTGCACATGTGGTTTGTAATCTTTCTCTAGTAGATGTAGTTTAAAATAATTAATATATTTAACAATAATTCAACAATCTATATATATATATATTTATTTATTTATTTATAGGTTCGTCAAGTTTTAATGGCTTTAAGCCATTTACATTCTCATCAAGTTGCTCATTTAGATATCAAACCTGAAAATATTCTATTATCAACCCCACCACCTATGCCAAATATAAAATTAATTGGTAAGTTATAAGTGTTAGTAATTTGCTACTTAAGTTTATATGTGAACATATCATTTAAAATATGTAATAAAAATTTATGTATACCTATTTTTTTGTACAGATCTAGGTCTTTCATATCGACTAATACCTGGATCTGAACATAGAGCATTATTTGGTACACCTGAGTTTGTTGCTCCTGAAATTGTAAATTATGAACCACTCAGTTTGGGAACTGATCTTTGGGCAGTAGGTGTTTTAACATACATTTTGTTAAGTGGTGCGTCACCATTTCTAGGTGAAGATAAACAAGAAACTTATGCGAATGTTGCTGCTTGCCAATATCAGTTTGACAATGAATATTTCAGTACAGTATCTGAAATTGCCAAAGATTTCATAAGATCCTTGTTGATCAAGGATCCAAAGTAAGTAGAGAAATTTAGAAGCAATTAATTAAAAAATTTTATTGTGAAATCTGAAATGGCATGATTTGATTTTCAGAGAAAGAGGAACTGTAGAATCGTGCCTTAAACATCCTTGGATCCTCACGGTCTGTTCCTGAATGCAATATTATAATTTCCTTTGTAATTGCCAGGCTGACTATAATTTTTGTTTTCAATTATTCATATTATTTTTTTGATTTCTTATGAAATAACATTTATTTATGTACATCGCGTGACTAATGTTAGTATCATTTGTTACATACCTGTTATACATCATACATACACATTATTTTTACAGAATATACATAAGTATAAGTAATGTAACAAATTTTTTATTGAATATATGTACCTTAATTATGTTTTAAAAAATACAATTTTTTTACATAGCATTATTTAATATTAAAAATATTATTCATGCGTTGATAATTCATTTTTGAGAAAAAATTTTTGAGGATTTGTGTATAAATATACAATTTTGTAATTGTGTATTGTAGTATAATTGATCATAATATAAAATAATATAACACTGATCAAAATAACTTGTTTATTCTTCTGTAGGAGTCAGAAGCTTCTCAAGGTCTTGGTGGAGCAATGATTAGTGCTGTTAAACGAGGCTGTGTTGAGGCTGTGTCTCAGTTACTTCTGCAAGGAGCACCATTGAATGTGAAAGATTTTGTAAGATTTTTTCGATATACGTCAAATGCAATATAAATAAAATATAAATAACTTTATCATTATTTTTTTTTTTTAATAGAAAGAAGATACGCTTTTGCATATAGCTTGTGAAGCAGGAGATGAAGGAATGGTAACTTTTTTAATAGAAAACGGAATAGATTTGGACACACCAAACAAGAAAGGCTTAACACCACTACATGTGGCTGCTAGACATGGTTTCATTAATCTCGTTAGACATTTGTGCCTTGCTGGTTGTGACGTTGATAAAACAAATCGTGGAATTAGAGCGGATGTAACAGCAATCAAATATGGACATCCTGATATTGCATTGTTGTTGGATAAACTTCGGAATGTACGTTATTAAATGATTTATTTCTACTATATTTAATATTGCTTTACACTAACGAATATAAATTTATAGCCCATTCAACGTGAAAATTATATTAAACAGTTGCAACCAATACATAGACCAATAGATCGTTTACATATAAGACTTTTAGGACATTGTGCATCAGGAAAATCATCTTTAATAAATTCTCTAAAATCGGGCATTTTTAGTTTTGGGTTTTTTAGAAGATCAAGAAGTCAGAATTATACTGCAAAAGTAATTATTATTTTATATTTATTTTGGCGTACTGAAACAAATTATTTTTATCAAGAATAATTTTATAGAGGGAACCAAGTATTGAATTAGATGTAACTAGCAAGCATGGCTCACTTAGTTTTGAATACAGTGACAGTGAATATGAAGGTACACAAGGAGTAGAATGGAGTCGCGGTAACGTAGGTGAGAAATGTAATTTTAAACATTCTTTATTTATGATTATACAAAACTACATGTATTTATAAATTTAATAAGGTGGAGAATGTATTTTTTGGGAATTATGCGGCCGGGAGGAATTTTTAGCATCTTATCACTATGTACTCACTTTTCAACAACCTGCTGTACACCTTATTACAGTCAGTCTTAGAGAGCCACTCACTATACAGCTTCAACAAGTAAAATTTTGGCTACGATTTATTTCAGATCGTATTGCATCAACTAATTTCGGTAAGTTTAACAGTTTCTTGTAAAGAACAATATAATTATATTTATTAGCAAATTTTTCAAACGCGTTTTTCTACAACAGGTTTTGGTGGCAAATATAATGATGTAAAAGTAATTTTGGTTGGTACTTATGCTCCAGAACCTCTTGCTCCAAATACAAATAGTGCAAGCCTTCTTGCCCCACTTTTACCTTTTTTGAAAGAATTTACACTAATTTTGGGAGATGAACCCCAAATCGTCGCGGTAGATGCAACTAATCCTTCTAGTCCTGGTCTGAAACTTCTAAGATCTTACTTGAATAATGCAAGGATGGAATTTTTAGAGGTGAAGTGATTAAACGATTTATAAAAATTATCATATTTACATCTTTTACACATATAACAAAATTTCTTGAAAAAAAAACATTATTACGAGTCTTTCAGTTTTTTCATAATAACTCGTAATTAATTCTTTACCACTAAATCAAATCTAATGGATTTAGAAATTCTGAATAAAATTTTTGTGATATACCAAATAAATTAAACTATTGCATGTTGTTATACAAAATATCAAATTAAGATCATTATATCAAGATCACTTAATTTAAATTGAGAATATAGGATGTAAATCATATGTAAATATATTATTGCTTTAGTATATGAATATATTATTGCTTTAGTATATGAATAACAATCTCTTGTGAAATAAAATAAGATATTTAAGGATGTAAGTACATTTGAATATCTGTGATTTACATTCAAAAATCTCAGTTCAAAATCTGCAATCATTTCATGCTTGATTGCACGAGCGACTCGTTTAGTAAAAAGAGAAGTCATATGATATATCATTAAAGAATTGATGCCAAATATATAAAATATCAAAAGATTTAGGTTCAGCTTAATATATTTGTGTACATAATTATACTTCCACATTTTTTACAGGGATATCGCCAGTGTTTGTACAGCATGCAATAAATGTGTGCATTAACATTTTCAAAACGATTCTGATTAGAATCAAGTCATTTCATTTGCATAGTGCCAATTACATTTAAACGATTCACGTCTCTTTGATTTTAAATCCCGCAATGTTAATACTATGTTAATCAAAGCATTCATTCCTAAATATGATGCAATCCTTTTTGTTGAAGTTATGGTTCAGTAATCCATGGTCATTTCATGATGCATGGTTGATTTAATATATATGTACAAGTAATTAAGCTCACCAAATATAATACTTTGTATTATTCATAATTTTCAATTAAAATAATTATTTGCGACATTTAATCAAGCACTTCTTTAAAAAAAAAAACAGATATTATAAGTAAAGTTTCTTAAATCTGCTATCACTCTATCACATAATCAATTTACTAACAACATATATTTTAGTTGCTGATTATTTGGTCATTAACGTTTATTAACATCAGCCTTACTGCATGCAATGCATGATGTAGGAAGGACCGGAAGTTGCAGAAAGTATTCTCCGACGTGACACGCCGCGGGCTGCGGCCTCGTACGTGCCCTTGGCGAATCTTGATAAACAGGTCGAACTATTTCTCAATTCCTTTGATAAAAGTGATGCGTATAATGAAGCTGTAATTTATTTAATAATTACTCTAATGCTTTAACCCATTAATACATACGTGCACTACTGTCCAATGCAATTAAGAAACTCTTGTATATATTTTCTGCATCAGTGTATTATTATTTAATATTTTCCCCTTGTATTTTATCATTAAAGACTTCATAATTTTATTATAGAGTGCACTAGTGTGGACTGGTCTTGCTGAATCTTGGAGATCATATGTCCAATCTTTAGAGGTACCTCCAGTCATGTTAACACAGGAGGAATTTTTGAAGGAAGTGAGAAAAATTAATCCATTAGTTTCTTTAGAGCATTGTAGATACCTTGGCTTACAATTGCAGGTACCTATTTCTGACATTACATTCTTTTAATTTAGCTTTCATTCTTGGTGTATTAATTAAAATTTATCTTCAGAATTTAGGGGAATGTATGCTCCTTCCTGAGAATTTAATAGTTTTAAGTCCAGAATGGTTCTGGCAGGATGTAATAAATTGGCAATTAAGTCTAGAACAACGAGGACGTCTTGGTGGTCGTACTACAGGGGTTTATGCTTTAGAAGATTTTCAGGCTCGTTGTCCGTGTCCCGCGAGTCAGGCTTTACAAGCTCTACAGGCTGTAAATTTATGTGTACCGGTATGTACTTAAGTGTATGTATTTTGTTTGTACAATAAAATCACGTAAGTTTATTTCAGTGCGAGGTGGATGATGATGAAGTAGAATACGAAATTCCATGTTTAAATTTTGTCGAGCGTTTACCTGGGTTATGGGAACCATGGAAATGCTCTAATCTTTTGCCTCATACCGGTCTTCGTCTTTCTCCATCCGAAGCACCTTTATATCATTTAATTGCGGTGTTTCCACATTTACAAGTATGTAGTAAGCATTTATGTAATTTTAATTCTTTTTTTTTTATAATTGCAAGCAAATCTTTGATGACAATATGATAAATAGGCACAATTGAGAAAAATCACTCAAACATGGGATCCATCAAATTCAGATTTATATCAATGGTGGAGGGGATCAAAATTATGTATCGGTCCTTGTGAAAGTATTATTACTTTTGAAGAAAAAGAACAGAATTGCATAGAAATAAGAATACGTGGACCACGAGGCACCAGTGCTCAATGCTTTGCACTTTTCAGCATTATTCTTGATGCTATTGAGACAACAATCGAATTAGTAGCCCCAGGCATGTTGCTTGAAAGATACTGGTTAAGTCCTAGTCAACTTCAGGAATATAATGAAGTTAGTTATCTGACAATGATCTGAATGAAAGAATAATCTAATGTAATTAAAATATACTTAATGTTTATCATGAAATTTTATAGATTATACATTCTTGGGAACCGGCACCAGTTATATCAGCTTTAATTGATAAAGGTCTTGAAGAAGCAACACTTAAAAATCCTTTGAATGGTAAAGAAGAAACTGTATGGGAAATAGTAGGTTGTGGACTACCTTTAGTAGAAAACTGTCTTCCTGGACCAAGGCAACCAGTGAAACAGATTAAGTTTGCTGTACAAAGAAGATTAGCACAGATGCTCGATCCTCCTGATCGTCACGGAAGAGATTGGTGTTTACTTGCTGTAAGACTAGGTTTGGGAGATCGAGTTGCTCAATTAGACAGTACAGTAGACAGTCCAACGTTAAGGTGAGAAAATGTGTAATTATTAATTATAATCCTGAATTAATTACACATATATATTTCATAAAATTTATTGTTCGATAGATTACTTAACACGGCAGGTGCTGATTGCACCGTAGGATCTCTGATACAACAATTACGAGCTCTTGATCGAGAAGATGCTGTACATCTTTTGCTCTCTTATACACCGACATATATATTGTCAACGGCTACTGACTCTGAAACAGGATCTAATCTTTCTAGATGACAATATTGCATTTATCAATGGTGCATTAATACTTTGTGAAAGATGGATTTCTGAAAGGAACTTTTTTCTGTATATGGGTTTGATAGACTTATTACGTCACCGCTTCCGCCCAACATAAATTGTGCATTGCTCTGTAAGCTAAGTACATATACATTATAGTACATTCTTTATGTACTTCTTTGGAAGTATGTTGAAATGCACATGCACTGATGTGTACTTTTATATCAAAATATTAGAGCACATTTTAAGCGGCACAAAATTTTTTAAATATATTCTTTTTAACACACACACACACACACACACA